AGATGATTGGATAAACTTAATGTCATTCGATGACTATGTATCTGTTACAACAAACAGCTCCAAATAAATCGCTTACGTTGTCAATTTTATAAGAATTTCAATGCAAATTTAACACTATTGTAATTGTTCGTAGATGCCGCAGTTGAGCGACCTGTCTTAGTAGTAACTCCGATGTAGATATTCAAAATCTCACAATTCCTTGAAAACTTTCACAATAAAATTACAGTAAGACTAGCTATAAATCAATGCATTATTGTTTTGTCTCTTGACCCTAGCAAGGTGATGTTATGTAGCGATGTCAGGAGACGGCGAGGAGTGGAGGAAGAAAAGGAGCTATGATCTTAATGTTGTCATCTCGCAAAAGAACTTTACTTAGTAGCTTTTAAAGAAGAACTGAATTCAGCACATCTTGCAACTTTCAAGGAAGTTCTGGGAACAATTTTCTACATTGTATTCATCGCACCCTTCAGCACAGCACCGCTGAGCGGTATGAATGTCTCATCCTTAACACCACTTTCAAAAACCTTCGTGCTAATCGTTTCGGATGAACAGGATAAGACTTAAGTTTCAATGTGCTAAACATAAGAAATGGTAAATTGAATTTCGAGGTAGAAAGTACTCTAAACTTTCGCGGGTAGCGAGAACAAAAGTCAGAATCCATCGAAGACAAAGCTTCAAGAAAGATTTGAGGACCAAGTGCTTGCAACACATCAACAGCTCCTAAGTCGAAACTCCTTCGAATCATTCCTGCCCTATTTCCATATTGCAAGAACTACCAAGAGGCAATGGTTCACACTGAGATGCAAACAATCGCGTTTTTAAAAAACGCTGTATTTATCGCGCTCCAACCACTTCATCAAACTTAAAGGGAGCAGCAATCTGCAAGCATATGGCCCCACAGGGAAAGGCTGCGAAATTGGCATATTGCCAACATTTCATTGGTATTCGATTCCAAAATTTCTTACAAATTGTTTTTTGAGTAACTGCTCTTTCTAAAAAATTTGTATTAAATCATTTTGTTGATGCTGAGAGTACTTAGTATTATTGTCGTAGTGTTTCGAATGCATGTTTCAGTCTTTCCAACTTAGGATGATTCGTTTCATCCTTATCCAGAATCGAGCTGGAAAAACTCGTCTTGCAAAATGGTATATGCATTTCGATGACGATGAGAAGCAGGTACGTCTTCCTGTCCTTATACAATAATTTTTTAATAAAATTCTTATTAATTTCCTTAGTTGGCGTCCACATAGTCATAATTTCGAGCATTTATCTAACTGAAAATCCATTCATGTCAAATATCTGTATATTTTTTCTGATGCACTACTCATGATTCGCTGTTGACCCACATATGGGATTAGCTCACCCCATCTCCTTCAAACCACAAGTTTCTCTCAATAAGTACAAAAGTCTTGCTCGTCTGGTTATAGATGCACCTTTTTGATAAGCGATCATTCCAGAAATATCTGGTGTGTATAAACATTTGTGTTATCAGAATGCTTGCAATTTCGGA